AGGAAGAGCATGAGAAGAAGATTAACATTAAACAGGGATGAGAGGTGGGAGGGAAAGGGAGAGAGAAGGGAAATTGCATGGAAATGGAAGGAGACCCTCAGGGTTATACAAAATTACATACAAGAGGAAGTGAGGGGAAAGGGAAAAATAAAACAAGGGGGAGAAATGAATTACAGTAGATAGGGTAGAGAGAGAAGAGGGGAGGGGAGGGGAGGGAAGGGGGGATAGTACAGGATAGGATAGGCAGCAGAATACAACAGACACTAGTATGGCAATATGTAAATCAATGGATGTATAACCGATGTGATTCTGCAATCTGTATATGGGGTAAAAATGGGAGTTCATAACCCACTTGAATCAAAGTGTGAAATATGATACATCAAGAACTATGTAATGCTTTGAACAACCAACAATAAAAATTTAAAAAAAAATTACAAAGGAAAATGTTAAATTGTCTCTGATTGGAGATGACATAATCTAATATACAGAAAACCCTGAAGACTCCACAAAAAATTGTCAGAATTAATAAATGAATTCAGTAAGGTAGAAGAATATAAAATTTAAAAAATGTACAAAAATCTGTAATGTAATCTGTATACTAACAGTGCACTATCCGAAAATAAAGAAAATGGCTACAAAAATAATAAAAATACTTAGAAGTTAATTTATTAAATATCTGTTCATTGAAACTATAAAATGTTGATAAAAGAAACTGAAGATAGAAATAAATGGAAAATAATCCCATGTCCATGAATTAGAATATTATTAAAAATGTGCATACTACTCAAATTAACCTGCACATTCAATGCAATCCCTATCAAATTCTATGGCATTTTTCACAAAAACAGAGAAAATATTAAAATATATATATATATATATATATATATATATATATATCTATCTACAAAAGACTCTGAATAGCCAAAGCAATCTTTTTTTTTTTTATTGGTCGTTCAAAACACTACATAGTTCTTAATACATCATATTACACGGTTTGATTCAAGTGGGTTATGAACTCCCACTTTTACCCCGTATACAGATTGCTGTATCACATCAGTTACCCTTCCATTGATAGACATATTGCCTTTCTAGTGTCTGATGTATTCTGCTGTCTGTCCTATTCTCTACTATCCCCCCTCCCCTCCCCTCCCCTCCCCTTTTCTCTCTCTACCCCTTCTACTGTAAATCATTTCTTCCATTTGTATTATCTTGTCTTACCCCTCCTTTCCTCTTATATGCCATGCCAAAGCAATCTTTAAACAAAAAGAACAAAGTTGGAGGCATCATGCTATCTAATTTCAAAATATACTACAAAGGTATAGTAATCAAAACAATATGGTATTGGTTTAAAAACAGACACATGATAATGCAAGAGAACAGAGCAAGCACCCAGAAATAAATCCACACATTTATAGTCAATTTGCCTTTCAGCAATGATGCCAAGAACACATGACAGGGAAAGAATAAATAAACAGTGTTGGGAAAATTAAATATTCACATGCAGAAGACTGAAAACAGACCTTCATCTCAGATCATTTTAAAAAATCAACTCAAAATGGGTTGAAGATTTACATGTAAGACCTGAAATGTAAAACAACTAGAAAAAAAACACAAGGAAAAGCTCCATCACCTGGTGTGGGCAATGACTTTTTTTGTAAGAACCTAAACATACAAGCAACAAAAGCAAAAATAGGCAAATGAGACTACTTCAAACTAAAAAACTTCTGCAGGGATAATGTAACAACAGAGTTTAAAAAAAAAAAAACCAGAATGGAAGAAAATGTTTGCAAAACAAACATTAATAATGAGTTAATATCTACATAAGGAACTCAAACAATTCAATTTTATAAAACATAATTCCATTAAAAATAATTAAAGAATCTGAATAGACACTTTTCAAAAGAAGATATATAAATGTCCAAGAAAAATCAAAATATGCTCAGAATGAGTAAATTATTAGAGAATTACAAATTAAACCCACAATGAGGTATCACCTCACAGTATCAGAATGGCTACTATTAAAAAGATGACATATAAAAAGCATTTGAGAAGATGTGGACAAAGGGGAACCCTAAGGCTCTGTTGCTCGGAGTGTAAATTAGTACTGTCATTATGGAAAATAGTATGGAGGTTCCTCAAAATATTAAAATTAGAACTACCATATGATCTAGCAATCCCTTCACTGGGTGTGTAACCAAAGGAACTGAATTCAGTTTGTAAAATAGATAACTGCACTCTTGTGTTCCCTTGAAACATTACCCACAATAGCTAAAGTATGAAATCAACTTAAATGTCCATCAATGGATGAATAGAAAAAGAAAATTTTGTATATATTCACAATARAATACCATCAATCTTTCAAAAGATGGAATTCCTGTCATTTGTGACAACAGGTCGAATCTGGAGGATACTATCCTAATGAAGTAAACTAAGCACAGAAAGACAAATTCTGCAAAGATTCACTTATTTATGGAATGTAACAAACTTGAACTTATAGAAGTAGAGAGTAGAACGAGAGTTAGCAGGAGTCAGATGGGAACTGAATTAGAGAGATATTGGTSAAAGGATACAAAATGTCAGTTAGATAGGAAGAACAAGCTTAAGAGATCAACTGTATAACATGCTGACTGAGAATACTTTGTATCCCTGAAAATTAATAAAATAACAGATTTTAAATGTTATCACAAAAATGATAAGCCTGTATTTAATCATTTTATAATGTATATATCTTTTAAAACAATATATTATTCAGGATAAATATAATTTTTAAGGGCTAGAGTTGTAGCACAGTGGTAGAGCGCTTGCCTAGCACGTGTGAGCCACTGGGTTCAATCCTCAGCACCACATAAAAATAAGTAAAATAAAGGTCTATCAACAACTAAAAAAATTTTTTTAAATTTTTTTTTAATTGAGATATGCTTAAGGCCTATCAAAAGGCTAAAAATGGACTGTGAACCAAGACTGACTCCCAGAGCCCTTATTCTTAACTATAACTCCATGCTACCTGTTTTATTAGCAATATATATATATTTTTTTCCAACCCAATAAATGTATATCTACCCAAGCTTTTTAATGATTGCATAGCATTCCATTAGTGGTTTATAAACCTACATAAAAAGAACCTACAAACAATGTACATTTAGATTATTTCTAGTTTATTTCATTATTAAAAATTATTATGCTATGAAATACATCCTTCCTCTAAAACCTTCCCTTCCTTTTTCCAAAATCTACCTAAAATCAAGAAGTTTTTCCTTAACTGCTCTAGCCTACATTATTCCTTCTAGCCTATGAACACCTCCAGCCCCTTAGTTTGGCCCAAGCTGTCTATAAAAAAAATCATTTAAGGGAGATTTTAAAAGGCAGTTTTCCAGCGCTTCAATGCAGATTAGGATAATCTGAATTTATAGGATTAGAGCACAAAAGGTCAGTATTGTTTGAAAGTCTTCACAAATTATTAGTCTTCACAATCTGTTTTTGGAATAATAATCCATACCACAGAGTTTGAAACTATAATTATGTTTAAATAAAAAGTATATGTGTCATCTAGAACTTCTTTTAGGGAACCAAGGAACACTTATTAAACAGGAATAAATTTAACCATAATAATCATAATAGTTGCATGTTTATCTGAAGACCTCCCATGAAATATTAAATGTGCATGTCCTATGTCAAATTGTACATATGAAGGTCTCAATTTTGAAAAAAATTATTTCAAAAGCAATTGAAATATTTTGACACAGATATGCAGCAGCCTTTTTAATGTATGATACCATCATAGAAGGGGCAAACGTTGCAAAGAAATTGATGGACATAAGCTTAAGTTTATTCAGATAGGCAGCAACTGGGCTGGGGTTGTAGCTCAGTGGTAGAGCACTTGCCTAGCACATGTGAAACACTGGATTCTATCTATCCTCAGCACCACATAAAAGTAAATTAATAGAGGTATTGTGTCTATGACTAAAATATGTGTGTGTGTGTGTGTGTGTGTGTGTGTATATATATATATATATATATATATATATATATTTAAATGGGCAGCAAATAAAAGGCCTTATTTTTATTTAGAAAAAATAGAAGAGTAAACCTAAATATAGTTTACTAACCTGTTTATTGTTCTCTGCCATGGAAAGCTGCAATGCCAAGAGCATGGAGTCTGCGCCACACAGAGTAGTTCTTTCAGAATCACAAAGAACATGCCAGTTCCTTCTAAATGCTTTAATCATGTCCAAGACAGACTTCTGGTTAAGCACAGCCATTCCCTTAAAGTAGGACAGAATACAATGTTAAAGTGCCTTATTTTAATTGGAAATTAACATTTAACATGTGTAAGCAAGCACAGTTAGAAGGAGGGGGGGAAGTAGTAAATGAGAGAGTATTTCATATTTACCAAGATTGTTGTTAATTAAATTCAGGAAAACAGAATAATACAATTTTTGCTCAATCATATTTTCCTCTACTTTAGTTTTCTTAAGCCAAATCTTTTGAAATAACAAAATTCAACCTTCAATTCTGAAAATTCACAAAAAAACATGAATTCTGCAAACTTATAATTAAAGACGCAGACATAACTAATTAAAGCTGTATTTTTAAAATATTTATTTTGAGATAGATGGTAGTTTAAGGGTGGGAAAAGCCAATTTCCTCCCATCTCTATATTGTTCCAAAAGTGGTGGTCTATTTTTCAACCCTTTGAATCTGGGCCAGTCTTGTGACTTAATTTTRCCAATATCATGTGATGAGAATGACATATGGGAATTTGAAGACAAGGCCTTAGGAGGTGCAGAAGAGTTAATGCATCAAGAATGACTGCTAACATTGGCAGCTAGATTCTGGGAACTTAGATTTCAGGAGGGTTTCCAATAAAAGTAATTCACTGTGCTAAACTATTTGTACAAATAATATAGTTTATGACGAACATTTGGTCTCCTTCTGAGTCTGGAATTTTGGTAAATGCCAGACAGAGCACACCTATGTGCTCAGCCCCCAGTTAAAAAAACAAAATAACAAAACAACAACAACAACAAAACAAAACCTGGCACTAAGTCTCTAATAAGTCTTCCCCAATAGACACATTTCATGTGTGTTGTCACCTGTTTCTGGTTGATTCCTGAGGAAGAGGACCTTTAGAAGCTTATACCTGGTCTCCCTGGACTTTGCCCCATATTCCTTTTTCCTTTRCACTGTTGTTTTGTATCCTTTTGCTGTAATAAATTATATCCATGACTATGACTATATGCGGAGTACTTTGAATCCTCCTAACAAATCATCCATTCTGGGTTTTGAGGACCTCTCACTATATTGTGGCCCTGAGACTGCTGTATTAAAAAGTTCATGCTAGCCTCCTGAAATGGACACATGACAGAGAACCACAGCACTCCATGTGAAACTTATACCAACTCACAGGTGAATGAGGGAGGTGACCTTACACTACCTAGCCTCAGTCAACCTGCCAGATGAATGTCAGCAACATGAGTGATCTCAGGCAAGACCAGCAGGASAATGACCTAGCTGAGTACAGTACCAAACTGCTGACCTACAGAACCATTAAAAAAAAAAGTTGTTATTTTACAGTCACAAATTTTGAGGTGGTTTGTTGCCACAGCAATAGACAACCAATGAAAGAGCTAACATTTAGGAATTATGTGGTGTCAGATACTTTTCAAAAGCTTAATATTGATTACCCCACTCAACTCCTAAAAGTACCATATCAAGGTAAAGCCTATTATTATCCTCATTTCACACCTGAAGAAAATAATGCACATGTCACTCAGCTAGTAAATGGCCAAACRGGCATAAATATAGATTTCTAAGTCCATAAGCTGGACTCTTAAATCACTATATTTCATAACTTCTTCTCATGCTGACAAAAGCCCTTCAAAATAACCTGATGTTGTGCCAATGTTTTATATACACAAGGCAGCCAATTCCTTTCTCTGAGTTTACAAATATGCCTGCTAAGATTTTTTCCCATTTTCTTTTAACTACCCAAGTCTCCAACACATTCTTCACATGTGGTATTTTCCATACACATCCTATTTACTGACTCCTCAGTTATCCTTTTGTTCTTATGAAGCATAAACAGAATCCCAGATGTTTACTAGGTACCTAAGGTTTGTACAATGAAGAAAAAGGGTATATGCCATCTGCAAAATAATAATTTAAATTACAGACATAATCTGTAATACAATTTAAAAACACAGGTAGCAGACCATACATAGCTAAGTTATATTTCTCTTCAAAATACCACCTCCATCTCTTAAAAAGAAGAACATGAAGAAGTAAAGCATCAGCACCAGTGATATTACCAGTTTACTTGAAATAAAATTTCAGCAGATTCCTTACTGGTATTTTTTTTAAAGATACTATGAGTTGAGATTCCTATAAGTGAAAACTCATCTAGAATTAGATCATTCTGAATCCTGGCTCCAACTACTTACTAGTTATGGGATCTTGGCCAACTTATATCACTTGTCCTGCCTTAGTTTCCTTGAACTGAAAATAAAAATAGTTCCTATGTGTAGGGTTTTGTGAGAGTAATGAGAAAATGACATAAATACATACAAAGCTTTTGGAACAGTGCTTGGCACATAAAAAAGCACATAACCTATTATCACACATTATGAGATTCTAAGTCATTTTTGCTTGTTTTTGTTTTTGGTACTGGGGATTGAAACCAGGGGAACTTTACCACTGAGCTCCATTTCCAGTCCTTGAACTTGCAATCTTCCTGCCTCAGCCTCTGGAACTGCTGGGATGATAGGCATGTGCCACCCTGCCTGGCTGTAGATTATTTTGAGTTAAAATTGAAACAACATTACATCGGGCACAGTGGTATACACCTGCAATTCCAGAAACTCCTGAGGCTAAGGTAGAAGGATTGCAAGTTCAAGGCCAGCCTCCGCAAATTTAGCAAGACTGTCGCAAAATAAGGATAAGAGCTGGAAGCATCACTAGGCTAAATTCTCAGTTCCAAAATACCAAAAGAGAGAAGGATAAGAAGAAGGCGGGGGAAACACTAATGGTGACTRAACACCAACCAAGAGTCTCATCTAGGGGTCAGCAAATTTTTTGGAGAGAACAAATAGCAAACATTTGAGACAAGCAGGCCATATCATCTGTGTCATAACTACTTTACCTTATAGTATGAAAATAGTCGTGGACAAAATATAAACAAATGAGCATAGCTGTGATCCAATAAAATTTTATTTATGGACACTGAAATTTGTGTTTTCATATAATTTGCACGTCACAAAATATTCTTCATTTTTTTTCTCCCAACTATTTAAACATGTAAAGTCCACTGTTAGTTCAGAAGCCAACTGTACAAGAACAGGAAGTGCAAATGGTTTGCCAACCTCTAATCTAGTTCCTGTTCTTCTAGTAGCTCTTCCAGTGGCTGTGTGAACCTAGTTAATAAGCTTTACACCTGGCTGCCCAGTAGAGGTATCAGAACACTGAAAATCTAATTTTTCAACTTACCTTCCAGCCAGTTGTCAATGAGAGGAATCAATGAGAGACTTTATGTGCAAGCACTTTGCAGGCTACACTGTACAAAAAGAGCCTTAAAATGTGGCCTTAGTAATAAACACTTATTTTTAAAAACTCTACTCCAAGGTGCACTGGAGCAAAAWATATATATACATATGAAACAGAAAATTCTCACTGGGGGGCAAAGTGAGATGGTTGATAGAAATATACTTTGGATTCAGATACAGCCGAATTCACACTCAGACCCCTTATTGGTTAGTTCTACGCTTTGGGGTATTTAAAATCTTTTATGAGCATCTGCAGAAAGGGTAAGATAATTTCTACCTAATAAAATGATGAGGCATTAATGAAAAAATTATACAACCCACTTAATGCTGAGCATTTAGTAGGTACTAAATAAAAATGGCAGTTGATGCTGTTATTATCAGAAGCCAGGTCCTAAATATTCCTTGGGTGCAAAACATAACAAAGGAAGAGGGGAATTGTGGAATTGGAGTCCKCCTACATCGTAGAACTAGAATCCTGATTTCCTGCCTTTCTAATGGACTTTAAGCAAGCCTCCATGAACCTCAATYTTCCAATCTGCAGGATCCCTCGGGATCTTTCAGCTCCAGCACAAAATACTGTGAACTCTGTCCAATGCCTGCTGACCCAATAGTCTTTAGAGAAAGCCACTACACAAAACCCCAGATGGTCACTTAGCACTGTGCTGTCACCGAAACGCTCAGACAAGCCGCATTTTGAATCGTCACGCAAAGTAGGAATGGCGGGCAAGGAGAAAGCGAGACTCACTTAGCTCAGAGAAGACCCAGGAGGTGCAAATCTCAGGGAGGTAAGGCCCCTCACGACTACAGATTGACCGCTGTTCAAGTAGCTGCGGGTTACATTTCAAATATCGCGGGAGGGCTCGGGAACCAATCGCTGCGCTCGCCCTTCGACCCGGAAGCAGAGGCACGCTCGCCGCTGCAGCCCGCAGCAGAGACCAGCTCCCTCCAGGTCGCTTCCCCGCCTTCTCCGGTGCGTAGCGTGCGGGCGATCCAGGGGGCCTTCGCCGGTCGCTGCGGGTCCACTCTAACCCTGTCCCCCAGGAGCTCTTCCCTTTGATCTCGGTCTCAGGGAGGCGGGTTGTCACGGGACGCACCTGGCTCTGGGAGAGGCTTGGGAGTTATCTTGTTCCTTCCCTCTTCATCTGCCTTTCCACTCTGTGACTTGAGTGGGCAAGTCCCAGCTCTCCGGGTACAGTGAAGCCCTGTGAGTGTATTGGCACCAGGCTTTCAAGAGCAATAGGTGAGGTACCGAGTCTCGATCTCCAAACTCTGGCACTTGCATCTCTCTCTGCATTGGAGGACTTCTCACCTGCTGGTTACCCTTAACACGTGTCCAGTCCTGGATGCGCATTCATTAAGGTTATTAGTATATAAGCTCCCTGAGGGGTAAGACTTATCTCATTCTCAGTACAGACTCAGACACTTGTTTTTTCATTTGTTTTTTTTTWCWTTTTTTTTTTTTTAGTTGTAGATGGACACAATGCCTTTATTATTATTATTTTATTATTTTTTTTTAGCGTAGTGCTGGGGATCGAACCCAGTGCCTCACGGATGCTAAAGCACTGTACCACTGAGCCACAACCCTGGCCCCCAGATATTTGTTTTCATTGCCGAGTCCAGCTGTTTTCAGAACAGTTCGTGTGTGTGTGTGTGTGTGTGTGTGTGTGTGTGTGTGTGTGTTGTAGATGGACATAATATTTTTATTTATTTTTATGTGGTGTT